AAATGGAATTTTATATGAAGCGGCTCTTTTACGACGCTGCCCTAAAATAACGGTCAACATTCGCAACAAGATCATCACTGATCAACCTACATATGTGGTGGTACACAGGGTCGGTCCTATCGTTGGAACTTTTTGCAAAGTTTTTACGACCCCCCCTCCTTCATGATAGATTTCATACGACCCCTTCTCCTTCACTTTTTCCACTCAAAAACACCGTCGAGCGGGGAGGGGATAACAAGTACGACCCCCCCCCCCCCACCACAAACTCAACAAACTACGACGTTGGTACTTGTCCCAACGTAGGGTTGACCCTGGGGGTACATACGCTTGCACGGACAGAGAACAGAAGTAGTCTTAGCCGCTTCAAAATCTCATACTCAATGAGGAAGAATAAATACCACTCGCATCAGAAGTCTAAGAAACACCGGTGTTACGAATTTGACTGAATTGAAAAGTTGGGACGAGAAATTTCATAGTCTTAAACTGTCAAAATATTCAAAGTCCAAACTTTAGCCAGCGGAGTAACTGAAACAATTACCGCGAACAGCTCAAAGGCATGCCCCAGGATCACATTGGTGTGGCTCTTGCACACGAATGCGAATGTATTGGTGGAAATGGGCCGGCAGTAAAGAAAAAAGGAAAAGAATCCGTCGAAAACGCTCAGGTTAAGGGCTCACTCACCTTCCTAATCGGCTGTGCTAAGGGAATGAGAGACTAAGCGCGGAGAGGAGAGTATGAGGCGAGAGAGCGCTACAGATGAGAGAGCGCCAGACAACAGCCTGATAAAAAATGCAGCTTCAGCAGCTTCCCCAAGCGCTCTTGTCGGTTGGTTTCCGTGCACGGAACGCCACATTTGTGATTGTCCTCTAGGGGTCTATACTACAGACCGAAGGAAGCGTTCACACGACCTCTGCCTGGAGTTGTGCCTTTAACCAGTAGAGAATCCTTTTGTACGAAAGCAATAGGAATACCATCGTGTAAAATTTGTAAAGGCGAAGATTGCGCAATGGCAGCCCAGG